GCCGCTCGCACCTGTGCGTAGCAGACAGCCCACCCCAAGACCACCCGAAGTTCAAGCATTTTAGGGTTTAGTTCTAAAGTCTTCTAGGCATCCCAGCGGGGGCTTGGGCATCGCCGACGGCGGTCGTTCTCTTCAACGGGGCCCAGGCAAAATCGAAACAAGACTCTCGAATGAGGGCCACCTTGCGTGGTCGACGATGGACTTTAGATGTACAGAACGAGAACTTGCAAGAGAAACGGCCACGCGATGAAACACGGCGAGAATGTACACTTGTGACAGCTCTGAGCGCTTGCGATGCCGGAACATGACTCGACGGTGTCGTTTTATACGTTGCATGAGCTACATAAACCCACGCGGTGCATCACGCATGCCAGGCCTGTTCTTTTGCATGCAAACGGCGGCAGCACAACTTCGATGTGACACCACGGGCCCAGGGCAGGACTGTGCCTGAACCTCCCGCCTCCTGCGGCCCTACGGCTTTGATTACTTGTACATTGTGCGGCTACTCACATTGCCGGAAGGAAATGGCGGCGAGTCACGATGCCACCGAGGAGGTAGTCGGTGTCTCGCTGCACACGACTCAATGCCACGTATCCGGCCGCCCGCATAAAGGGGATGTCCAGCCACACAGTGATATGTTCCAGCTCGGCCCCCTGCAACTTGTGCATCGTGCTGGCATACCCTGGACGGACCGGGTAAGCAGTGACGTAGCCGCAGCCCTCCACCCAGTCCGTAATGGGGTGCACAGCCAAGTTGCGACCTGTCTTGGTGAGCACATGGAGGCAGCGAGAGTTCGGGTCGTAGCTCTTGACAGTGGCCTCCATGCCGTTGACGAAGTCTGAGGACTTGTCCACGTTGCGTGTCAGATGCACGCGGAGGTTCTTGTAGACTTTCATGGTCAAGGGCTTCGGTGGCCGGCCTGTGATCACATTGTTCTTCTCGTCGTAGTTGTCCGCATTCGACTCCCAGTCCACCTTGAGCTTGGCCAGCTGCCGCTTGCGCTGGGTCGTGAAGAGCACCCAGATGGAGAGGTCGTTGACGTGGGCGGCCCTTCTCTTTGTACAAGTGGCAACCGTGGTGTGGGGTACCTTGCGGTAGAGCTGCTGTATGTCCCAAGCCGTCGGCTTCCGATGACCGGACCAGGCCTTGTGGCGAAGGCAGATGCGCTTCAGAAGCTCCTTCGTGGGCATCGCGGTTCGCAGAGCGACTAGCTTCTGGCGCAAGGTCTCGTCCTTGCAGCGCCACATGTCGTGGAGCTCGATCTGATGCACCATGTGCCACTTCGGGCTGTCCGTAGCTTTGGTGGGCTGCACGCCTGGGAGCTGCCAGAAGTCACCTGCAAAGACGAGGACGGGAACCCGGTCTGCCGCCTCCCACATCTGGATGATGCGCTCGAAGTCCTTCTGCGACAGCTGTGAGATCTCGTCGACCGCGATCATATC